AAGGAACTCGTAACTTGGAACCGACGGGAAATTGAGGCTGAGACTCGAAAGTTTCAGCGCACACGGCTCTTCGGCGACAAGCTGAGGCAGATAGCCATGAAGCGAGAGTTCACGGAGGCTGGGCCAGGTAGATATGAGCTGATGGAGAGCGGAGAAGTTGGTGGGTGCATGATGCGGAGCAGAGGATGGATACCATCTCCTCGTCGAACGTCGGCGTCGAGTTCTTCTGCCGGGCGAAACTGAGAGGGGAGCCATGTGTATTTCGGGAGGCGGGGTGGGGAGTGGGTGAGCCGTAGAACGTGAGGACGATCCAGTTGAGGTTGGGGCACATTGTGGTGGCGAGGGCGAAGGAACGAAGAGGGAGATGGAAGGGTTGGGAGGGGTCGATGGTTGCTCTGAGAGTCCGGACACACTACGCGAGGGCACGACCACGTTCGATACCGGGATCGACAGCAGCACAGAATGTGTTTGATGAGCTTCGTGAACAGAGGTCGTTGTGGTGGAAGAGCAGGGTCTGGGCTGGAGTAGACCATGTCTTACGGACAAGGGAGCAAGTGAGGAGGAGAGACATGTCGGGTCCATGGGCCCGGGTGATGGATGCGAGTTCGTTCATACTACGAATAGGTCCGGCTGGGAGGGTAGCGGGACGGGCATAAGGCTTAGGCTTACAGGGGCTGGAAGAACGGGGCGTACGCGAGCGTAAGGTTCAATCATGATGTCTTTCGACGGGGTCTGTGTTCCATGTTAGTCACGAGGAATGAAAGAACTAAGTCAACGAACGTACGAGAGGCGTGAAGGGCCAGAAAAATCCGGGAAACGAGAGCTGCAAGTAAACCATCGTATCCGTCAGAAACTATGGTCCAGATGCGTCGGTGGTCGGGTTCGGGTCGTCGTCAGATGCTCAAGCTAGGTAATGACTTCAACGTGACTGAGCCCCGCTCGAGATGAAGAGAGAGCGCGAGGGCCTGCAGGGAGAACGGCATGGGGGCGTCGAGAACTAGACATTCCCATCCTCACCCATCACAGCGACCTTCAAAGCGATGTCTTTCCTGGGACTGAAGCCCGCCGACCTCTCGATGTTCAAGATATCTAGCTTACCACATTCGTTCACCGCTGCCTCTGAAGCCCTAATGCCCATCGATAATGAACATCCATCCGTGTGACGATAGCAAGGTGGAAACGAATATGTGACGTACTCATGAATACAACTCTACCCTCATCCTCCCGCCTACAGGTATCCTCTCTAGCCTCCCGAAACGTCTCCACAATCCTCGTCCTGTTTTCATGGCGCGAGTGCGGATTCTGCATGATGCGCGAGTGCGTTCCAAATTGATCAGCAACTCAAGTGTCAGAGCTTACAGGATCAAACAGGAGGGAGATGCGGATGCAGGAGGGGATGGGAGAGATCTGCAGGCGCTAGACGTACCTCCGAATGAACCGTCTCAGTTGCTTGTTGACAGCACGATTTGGGTATGCTGTAGGGAATTGCAAAGACTCTACTAGGCGGTGAATGCATCTCTTCCTAAGAAAACATGCTCTGCAACGTGCTCTTAACGAGACGCACCACAGAACAAGCCCTCAGCGCAAAGAGAGAAAGCTCCACTATACCTTCCACCTCCGAAAACGGCATCCCTGCGAGGATCTCTTCAGCGGTTCAGTGGAAGGTAGAAGAGAAGTACCGCCGGAGTGGGTTCCCCTCTGCACCAGTGTGCAGGGTAGGTCGAACTGAACACTCGGGCGGGCAAGCTGATCAACATGAGCAGCTGAAGTTATATATGCTCATTCGGTGCCTTTTATTACGCATGAAACCCGATCGCTTAAAACGGTGTCGTTGCGTCGCGACATACTCAGGGAGGTTCCTAATAATCGCATATGCGAGAAGTGGCCGTGGCGATTGTATCAGCGAAGGAATATTATGAGATTCTTCCGAGATGTTGAAGGATGACAATCGAGTCGCCGGAAGGTGGTGATGTTCGGATAGTTGCTCACTACTGAGTATTATACGCACATACACACGGAAAGAGAGAAGGAACGATCTATTACTGGAACAATATACAGCGGCAAGAGCATA